TTTTCTTGAATTTAAGTCTGAAGGTAAGCATGCTAGGTCTGGTATGGGAGTCACAGTCAACAAGGTCAGGTTCCTTTCCATTTTTCTTTTGTACCATCCAAATGTATGACTTTTTTTCCCCATATATTCCCTTTATCAGTAAGGTTGCTTCAGGTACAAGACAACATCTGGAACTCCAGCCATCACATCTTCATTCCAATAGAAAGTAGGAGGAAGTGGGATAGAGAACTAAGAGACTATTCTCTTCAGCTAACTAGCCTCATTTTAAGAAACGTTTCACTAAGACTTATCCAACAACTTTTCCATCCCACTGCTTAGAACTTGACCACATGCATCTGACTGCCGAGTGATTCAGAAATACAAATTCCCAGCTGGGCACCTGCCATAGCAAATGAAATCTGAGTTTCACTATAAAGGAATAAGTAATGTACAGTAATTGTCCATGCCACTAGAAGCCGTTATTAAAGCATTAAAAACACAGGTGTTCCAATATAATTATTTTAATGACTGTTGAACAATCGTCTTTCTGGAATTCATTGTACTACTGTTCTTATTATTCACATAGAATATTAGGAGTTAAGTCTTCCACTGGTAGGCCCCAGAATAAATACATAAAAACTTCCTTATAAAGCCCTTGTTATGGAACAGTTCTTTATTTATAAAAAATGAAAGGAAACCAAAACAACAACAACAAAAAAGGTGAATCCATTTTGAATCCTGACCACGAGGCTATGGTTTTCAGGCAGCTCCAAAAGGTAGCTAAAAATGGACGTGAAGGGGCTTTAACTTTCTTTAATCTTGCAATGTGTTGCTCCTCATCCCACCCATCAAGATTTACTATGATTTTTTTCTTCAAATTTATTTTTTAATGCAACAGAATGAAACAAGCATTCTGTGCAAACCCAGCTTTACATTTCTCCTTGTACTCTCTCCCAAGCAGATTGCAGATTACAACCCTAAATTCTTCTAACATAGAAGTGCTGGAGTCTGTGGTGACTATAAAAATACCTAAAGGTCATAAAAAGTTGTCCAGCATTATGTCTCAGTATTAGAGAGTATCTTCTATACATGCTTTATCAACATCAGAGGAGCTTTGTAAGTGTTAATTAGCATCACTAGAAAACACAAAGAAAGAAAGCACTGTATGTTCAAAGTGGTTTGTAAATATTCACATTAGCCATTTAAACCATCCTACCCCACATGAGATGATAGCGATAATGAGACAGAGATTCAAGATTCTGCTGGTTGCTAAGGCACTTCTCCAACGCAGGGTGAAAATCCCACTGTAAATAATACATTAAAATGCTACTTGCTTTGTGCTTCCCTGTGCTTTGATTCTAATATGCACCTTTATCATTATCAACAACTCTTTTGAACCAAAATGTTCCCTGCTTCTTATATTAGGAAGTACAGATTATTTATTAGGATTACTTCAGTCCAGATTTCACTTGGGAGAGTAATAAAGAGATGTTATTTTCTTACACTGATCTTTAACCCAAAGTCTTTGTTCTCTTTCCTCAGTGATTCATTCAAACACCACAGAGCCTGACTGGAGTGAAAGAAACTTTTGTTATATATCCCATTTTGCTAAAAGTTTTAGCAGTCTTGACAGGTGTTTATTGTACATTGTTGAGGGTTATAATTACATTCATGCAAAAAAAGTTCAAGTCAGCCAAGGTATGGTGCTTAATGTTTGGGCATCACTTTTATGACCCAAAGAGTTCTTTTTATTATTTGATGCTTTATAAATCTAAGAATATGTTATATAAGACACCACAGTTAACAATGATCTTGTGGTTTTATGAACCTATATAAGAAATCAACTTCGGTTAATTGCTCATGATGTTTAGAAATCCAGTCTAACTTTATCTGCTCTGTGTATAAGAACATAGCATTTTGAAACACACTTTATAAAATACAGTGTTGGACTTCATGCTAACTAGCAGACATGAAGTCTAACACACATTGATCACCTATACATCAGAAGCTTTGTAGTCCTATCTCACTTGCTCTCCATGTAACTGTACATCAGTACTGGTGTATGACAAGAAAGAAAACTGAAGCTGACAAAGGTTAAATAATTTTGTCATGATCATGCAACTTCTATGTGGCTTTTTATCCTGTATGGGGATTTCTTTACTAGAAAAGTGTAAAGCAATGCAGCATTTTATAATTATTTCACAAATTCAAGAAGTAATGATAATGTTCTAACAAAAGTTTCCAATTCAGATAAGAGACGGCTGAATGACCCTTTATAGGTTTTGTTCTTTGTTTGTTTGCATGCTGAGGCTTGAGATTCTTTATAGTTTTATGTATGTGTGCACTATACAGAACTATGTTTACTGCTTACAGTAAGGTTGTACATATCATACTCTCTTGTATTGTATAAAAAATTTATGTTATTATATAACAACTGACAGAAGATCTAGGTGATCTGCCAGCAAGTCCATTGGCCAAACTGGATTTGGGTCTCTTGTTTCCTCATACTTTTTCAAGTTGAAATAAAGATTTTACATAGATTCTAATTTCTGATACCACTTAAAAATCAGAAGGTCTGCTACTTTGCCTGGTCATGCATGTCTGTGGGGCACCTGTTGGCTGGTGCAGTAGTGGCTCTAGCAAGATGGGACCTATGATCCTGGGAACCTCAGTCTCCCTTTGTCAGTTTCATCAATTAGTGCTGCTTGCATTTGGGTTCATGGCTTTGAACTTCAACTCAAAGTATTACTTTTAGACCCATCTTCTGCCTTGTGGCTATTGCCTTTTAGTCATGGACACTATGACCTGGGTAAAGCAGCCAGGTTGGCCAATGCTGATTTGACAACCAAAACAGTCAATCATATACTTTCTCCTAGTAATTTAGAACTTGGATTTAGAAATCTGGTTTAATCCTGTATGCAGCTAGAACTGTAACTGTCAATTTGTGAAGTGTAAGTTGGTCAGAGTCTGCCATTTGAATACTCAGGTAGAGAGATTCCATTTGGGAGAGAGAGAGAAGCAGAGATGAAGGCAAACCATCAGGCTCTCTCAGATTCTACTGTATTCTTATAATACATCCCTGTATTTGCAGACATTGGCTTCTGTCTCTTACAAGTACTCGCACTAGCCCTGAAACCTGCAGACTTTCTCTCTTCATGCCTCAATTTCCAAATCTCTTAAAGTTAAAAAAAAAAAAAAAAAGGCTTGGGCTGGAGGTGTGGCTGAAGTGGTAGAGTGCCTGCCTAGCAAGCATGAGGACCTGAGTTTGAACCCCATTACCATGAAAAAATTATAATAAAAGTAAAACTTGATAATATTTCATCCAATCTGTCAAACAGGGTTGTATTGGTGCTCAAATAAGTCTATGAATATATTCTTTGAAAACTAAACCACTGTACAAACCAATGATATCATATTCAGGGCAACTCTGATAAATATGCAATAACTGGAGACACAGAAGTTGAGAAAAAGTGAGAAATTATTTGTGGCTAAAGAAGAGCAATGCACCCAAGGCTTTGAAGTCAAACTATTGTACTGGCAAAAAAAAAATAAGTGCCTTCTGGAGGATGTTGGAGTGGTGTTGCCCTACAAGGATTTTCCTCTTCTTCAGGATGAGCATACAGTGGTCATTTCCAAGCATGAATATGGGAGAATTTTTTTTTTCTTTATCAGCACCTTTGAGCACTGCCAACTTCCTTAAGCAATTTTCCATAGTCACCAGAACATGAATCAGCCAAAAAATTGCAAGAGAATTCTGCAATTTTTCCCTGTGTTCAACAGTGCAGTCAAAACTGGTAAATCAGGATTGACCATTGTGTCAGGAAGAACTTGATTGGAGTGAAACACCTCCCTACATTTCTTAACTCCAAACAAGTCATTAAAGTCAGATTAAGTTTTGCTTCTTCCCTAATATGAAGATCTGTTTGAGAAACAGTTTAGATAACATGTAACAGGATGTAGCAATCCTGTTTGCTGTGGTCTCTGTAAAGAAGAACAATTGCTGGCCTATTTAGTCACTAATAAAAATATATTGTATCCGAAAACAAGACCTAACTTTCTACCTATAAGTAATAGAAAACCTGTACAAAAGTAAATACTAAAATTACCTTTCAGAAAGTAAATGCATGGTCATAAAAGCAGAAGATGATAGAGAATTTTAATATCTGGTGTTACTATACATATTTATCCAGGTGAACTATGAATAAGCATTTGATTAAAAACATAAAGGGCCAATAAAACAAAGCGCTATTACAGTTTGTAGTGGTACAACTGACCACCGACCAGTACTCATCTTCCCACTCAGTGACTGCCTCTGGGGAACAGAAAGAAAATGTGGTCTCTAAACGTGTCCATCTGGAAAGGTAACCATTTAAGATTAGTTCAATTTAGTTGTTTCATGCCCCCAATCCCAGCATAGGGAGGCTGAGGTAGGAGGATCCTGAGGTTTGACGCCAGCCTGGGCCACGGAGCGAGGCCCTGCTTTGCATCCTCTCCCCTCCCCACCAAAAAAGAAAAAGATTAAATTGTGATTTAAATTTAGGGGGAAATGATGGGCTTTTCTGTCTACATTCTTTAAAAATGGGGCCTGGAGTGGCCTTGCTGGGGATTGACCCCAGGACCTTGCCATGCCGGTCAAACGCCTTAGCACTGAGCGGTACCCCCGGCCCGGTCGCTTTTTCTTTACAAGGAACTGTCTGGGTGACGGGAGGAGCAAACAGGGAGGAGGCTGTGCACACCTCTGAAGCTGAAAATGGACATTCAGTGAAATGGTCATTGTCATTTGTGAGCGTCCCTTTGCTGAACCAGCGTGTGGCGGGGTCGCAAAGCTCTCTCGCCGGCTCTGCGCGACTGGTGGAACCGGAGAGGCGACAAGTGACAGGCAGTGGCAGCGAGTGACCCAGGCTGGGAGCAGAGCCCGGGGCGGGAGGGGCGAGGCGTGGACTGCCAGCGCGGCCGGCCGGCCGGAACCTCCGCGGGGCGGCGCGGGCCTCGCGGGGCGGGGCGGGGCGGCCGCGGGTCGCGGGCGGATGACGCGCGGGGCCGACGGAGGCGCCGCCACTTCCTGGAGCCGCCGGCCGGGGCCGCTCGTCGCACTCAGCGCCAGAGCCAGGAGCCAGCGGCCGTCGCCATGTCCCACCAGACCGGCATCCAAGGTAACGGCGCCCGCGGGGAAGGAGCTCCCGGGAGATGCGGGCTGGGCTAGGCGGGATCACGCGGGCGGACGAACGGAGGAACCGGGCCTCAGGGCCTCCGCGCTCCTGGCCCGGCCGGCGCCACGTAACCGAGGAGCCCAGGTTCGGAGGACCGGGGACCTGGGATCCGAGCGGAGCGGCCCGGGTGAAGGGGGCGTGACCCCGCGCCCGACCGCCCCCCAGGTCCTCGGGAGCCTGCGGGCGTCCGGCCCTGCCACTTGTCCTCCACCGTCCCAAGGAGCGCCCGGCTCGGTGGTGTGACAACAGGCGTGCCAGCGTCTTTCCCAAGTTAATGGGGTGCTCCCCAGCTCTCCCGGCATTTCTTCCCCAAATGCGAGCCGGGACGGCCTTCTGTTAATCCCGAGGGTGCAGCGTGTGTCCCTCTTCCCCCGTGTCCTCCCCGAGTTGCTCAGGTGTGGTCCGTGTGGCCGCGCGCGGTTAATCACGGCGTGCAGACGGCCGAAGGTGCAATTACCGTGTCCTACCCTCCAGTATTTCCTGGTTGGAAAATAGGCAGCTTGGAAGCGCCGTCCTCCTCAAAAATCAAATCACTTGCCCCCGGGGTTACTCACTTAACGAGCTCTAGGTGCAAACTCCAGCCCTTCCCGTGGGTGGACAAGGGATCCGTCCCCGAGATGGGCACGCCACCGTTTGTGTCAATTTTTTTAAGGCTTTCGTACCACAACCTATGCAGCCCCAACTGCACGCACACGAGAGCAAAATAGCCTCAGTTCTACAGCATTGCTTCCCTTGCCTGCATTAATTCTGACATTTAAACACTTAAGTACTGACTTTGGTGCTGGAGCCCTTAGAGCAAGTGGTTCTCGCTGGATAGACAACACAAGAGGAAAATTGAAGCTTGAATGAGTACACAAGGTTTAAATTACTACAACAATATTTGCTCCGTAAATTTACTCTAGCTTTTTGAGAAATGCAAGTAAGAAAACTGTAATGTGCATTTGTAAGGCCAAATGCATTTTATTGGCCTTTTCTTTAATCAGGATAGGATATCTGATACTGTTGTTTTCAATGGGCAAATACAGAAAATGAGTTGATGAAGAAGGTGTCTCTGTCACAAGCTTAAAAGTGAACCTAGAAGAGAATGAAAGTAACTTTTCAACAGTTTTTAAACGTGAAATTCAGATGTTTTTCAAACGTTTACCCATTTTTAGGTTTGAGTAACTTCATTATATTCATTCCAGAGTTATTTCTGCTACAGAATTATTTGGTTAAAATCGTCAAATTCATATATTTTAAGATACATTAATATTTATATCTCTTACTGGTATTCAGTGCCCACTATTTTAAGCCTTTTAAGTTTTATAATACTGTTAATAAGACGCTGTATAATCCAGAATTTTACTTTGCATTATAATTAATTGTTCTCTTAGCAAAATGAAGTACTTCCAAATGTAAAAAATAGGCTTATTTTTCTTTACCTTTTCCCACAGCAAGTGAAGATGTTAAAGATATCTTTGCCAGAGCTAGAAATGGAAAATACAGACTTCTGAAAATATCCATTGAAAATGGTTAGTTAACATCGTAAAATATTGTATATCCCAGGGTTTTGGGGTGTTGTTTTTAAATCTCTCAGTGTCAGTAACTTCAACTATTAATGAATTTGAAGCAAGTTTAAATTGTGCCTTAGGATAACTTGGAGTCCTTGCATCTTGTGCATGTCCCAAGGGCTGTGCTGTGTGTCTTCCTAACCCTGTAGTTACCGGGGAAACACAAAGATTTTTCTTTTTTTTAACGAGTAATATTTTCCTCTTCATTTTTGTGTCTCATTTTTGCATGACAATCTATTTCTAATGTCAGTGCTTTTGTTTCTAGAATAGAAATCAGTAAACAGGTGATCAGCCCAAAAAAAGTAGAAGCAAAGTATTTGAAACTCATTTTTTCTACCTGATTGTACTCTGTACCAGAACTGGTTTCCCTTTCTTGTGGTTTTGGGAAAGTTCTAAGAATGTTACAAAATATAAATTGGGTCTTTAAAATACCTTGAAATATTTGCTTTGGGAAAATAACTTATTCTTTCGTAAACAGGAAGTAAATCTAATAGTTTTCCATTTTCTACTTACATATTAAAATACGAGAATATAAAATCTACCTGTGTTGCAACATTCAACAGGAATAAATGTATATTGCAAAGCAGCATATTTTAGAAATGCTGAGCTAAAAATTTTAAATACTGTCACTTCCTAAGTGACAGTAACTGAATATGGAGAAGTTAATCCAACCAGCACATCTTCGCAAGGAAAATGCCACTTTTCCTAAATCATTTTCTTTCCAGTTTTCCTTTGTGTTTTGAGAAAAAATTTGAAATAAGGAAATTTCAAAGAATAAAATAATAAATACCTATCTCTACCCTTAAATTAATAACTTAATACTTGGTAATAGTTGCTTCAAATCCTTTTTTAAATTTAATGTTTTTCTGTTGTAAGAGCTTCCTCTTTAGATAACTCAAATCCCTGACTTCCTTCCCAGGAGGCAACTACAAGGAGGAATTTTTGTATTTGTGCAGTCCCCCTTTTACATAGACCGTCTACCAATCTTCAGTGCTGATTTGAGTTTTTAAGTTAACATAAATGGCATACCTCCTTATTCTGAGTATTTCTTTTTTCTGTAAATGTTATTTTTTATTTGTTTTGATAGAAGGCTTATGAATTATTTTTCAATATGAATGGAATGCTTTCATTTGGCTCTGCCACATGTTGTTTGTTCATTCTCTTGATGCTATTTCTAGTTTTCACTGTTGACAAGTGGTGCTTCAGTGACCCTCTTGTCCACATGAGCAAGAGATTCTCTGTAAAGACTGCACTCATCATTTTTCTTAATTTTGCCAAGTAGCACTTAGGAAGTGACCATTCTAATTTGTGCTTCTAGACAAAATTTTATTTCTGTAGTGTGGCCAAATAGGAGCAAGATAGGGCTCAATTTCATGCTCAGAAATTACAATTTTCACTGGTAGTTCTGGTGGTATTTTTCAGCATTGACATTTTGGAAAATAGAAATCGAATTGCCTATTTAATCATTCAACTCAACTAATCATTTTTATATGTTCATTTCTGTGCTATGTATATACATATATATAAAACTTTTACCATACTATTTATAAAATTTTCATATCTGATTTTAATAATATTTCATTTCATAATTACTTTATGCATTGGCCCCTTTTTCTTTATGTGTTTCCCACCTTTTGCTGATGGGAGTAATAGTTATTGGAAAGTATCTATATGTTCATTTATTTTCTAGTCTTCATTACACCACTTGGTATTTCAGATCATGTACATATCTGTTTACAATTTTCTTTTCATAGAGCAGCTTGTGATTGGATCATGTAGTCAGCCTTCAGATTCCTGGGAAAAGGATTATGATTCCTTTGTGTTACCCCTGTTGGAGGATAAGCAGCCATGCTATCTGTTATTCAGGTTAGATTCTCAGAATGCCCAGGGATATGAGTGGATATTCATTGCATGGTCTCCAGATCATTCTCATGTAAGTAGTTTGCTGTAGTTTGTTTTATATTAAATGCTAGAAAGAACTTCTTTCTGAACTATTTCTAGGCTTAATGCAGGTTAAAAAGCAGTAGTCATTTTCTGTAGAAGGGAATGATCATATGGAACAACCTTGCATTAACAATGTGGAATCAGAAGTGATTAGATTGAGAAGCCCTACCCTTCTCATACTCTTGAAATCAAAAGTATGGTTACTGACTTAAAATTGTAGATTCTATCAATTATAAGTGACTGTGGGTCTCTGGAGAAAGAGGCTAACTACAACTACTTTGCCCAATAGTGGTAAATAGTGATGAATAGCTATCATTCAAGTCATAGACATATATACACAAAAATACTAAATAGAATATTAGGTGAAATTACAATAGAAATACTGCCCAGTATTGTCACGTTTGATTTTTTAAAGTTTTCTTGATATTATTCTCAAAAGATGATTCCATCCTCTTTAATTCTATACTTCCTGTGTGGAAGAAATACTGGAGCTCATCATTGAGGATTATGGGATTATGACATTGTTAGCTGGTAGTTTCTTTATTATCTCTCCCTAGGTACTATAGACTTTTTAATAATAGTATTTTTGCATCTCTGTGTCCCTCGTGGAATTGTATATGCCATCAGTAAGCCATGAATATTTGATTACTAATTAGCAATAACTTATCTAGCTTTGTGTAAAATATCATTATCAAGATTACTTAATCTTGATGTTTTTTTCTCATATTTTAAAATAGTTTTTAAGTTGTTTTTTTATTCCTGGAACTCATACTTTGAAAAATTACGAGTTTTAAAAAATTTACGTATAAATATGTTAAATAGATAGATAGATAGATAGATAGGGTTTTTTTTTTTTTTTTTTGGTTTGGTGGTGGTACTGGGGTGTGAACTGAGGGTTTTGCATTTGCTAGGCAGGTGCTTTACCACTTGTGCCATGCCTTCAGCCCTTTTTGCTTTAGTTTTTTTTCAGATACAGTCTTGCCTTTTTTTTTTTTTTACCTTGGCTGGCCTCAGACTGCAATCCTCCTACCTATACCTTTTGTGTAGCTAGGAATGTAGGCACGTACCACCATGCCTAGCTTGTTTTGTTGAGATGGGGGTCTTGCTAACTTTTTCCCTGGGCAGGAGTCAAACTACAATTCCCCCCATTCGCCACCTCTTGGGTAGTTGGAATAGTGGGCTTGAGCCAACACTCCTGGTTTAAAAAACAAAAAACGTATTTTTTAAAAAATATGATATAGAATAATTTGAAATCTACCTTGAAAGCCATTGATTGTTGAGATGCTCATATTATGGTGGTTGTTTATATGTATAGTATACATTAACATGTTATAGTCAGTGAGCTTTGGCTTCATCACAATATGCTTTCTTTTGTATGATGTGTTTTCTCCATAAACTTCTAAAAACGCTTTCCCAACTGAATAGGTTCGTCAAAAAATGTTGTATGCAGCAACAAGAGCAACTCTGAAAAAGGAATTTGGAGGTGGCCACATTAAAGATGAAGTATTTGGAACAGTAAAGGTACAAAAGTTAATGTTTTTATGGGTAATTGAAATGACCTCAGATAATTGGTAAACATAAGAATAAGAGAGGAAAGTTATCTTATATGATATGAAAGTTAACTATGAATATGTAACTTGTAATTCATTTGTTATGTTTTAGACATTGAGAATATATGGTATTGAAGTATTTATATGGTAAAAACAAATATGTATAGATATATGCACAAATTAAGAAAGTTGAAATATATTTTTGAACAGGCTTTTTTTTTGTTTTCTTGTTCAGAGGTTTTCTGGTTCAGAAAGTAATATAATTTAGTAGATAGCGGGATGGAGGGAATATATCATTTGTTCTTCATTAATTATGAGATGGGCTGATTTCTTAGTTCCTTAATTCTGTCTTCCAAACCACAAAATTTTGATGGTAAGTAAGCCTCTTTGAAGTACTTTTTTCTTTTAACATAAAAGCTGCAATGATTTTTTATGAATAATTATAGAGAAAATAAGCTGGTTTTAAAATAGAATTCAGAATCTGTATATGTTAATTATTGAATAATTGTAGGACAGTTTTCCTTAGAATGCTACTACAGGTTTGCAGCATGACTAGGTTCATTATTTGACTGGTGTCAGTACCAGTCATATAATACAAACTCATACAAAGGATTTAGTAATAATAAAACTTAAAGAAAGGAAGAGTAGACAATTCCCTTAAAAAGTTTTGAAACCTTCAAAATAGAGGATTAAAGAAAAACAAAGAATAAAATTCATAATGCTATTTTTTCATGTAAAATTTTTTCCTGTTAAATTAATAATTTTGATTTTCCTAAAGTAACTTTCACTGTGGTTTTATTTCTAGAGAATAACTGATAATAGTCCATTTCTGTGCTTATAGGAAGATGTATCATTACATGGATATAAAAAGCATTTGCTCTCACAGTCTTCCCCTGCACCATTGACTGCAGCTGAGGAAGAATTACGACAGATTAAAATCAATGAGGTAAATTACAACTTTGAAATGCTTGCAAGGTTTTAAGTATTTTAAAATACTGTATTTAAAATTAGTAGATATGGAGGTAATTAGAGAATAAGAATGTTAGGTTGGTTTTTCTGTTTAGTTTAGAGACAAGCCTATGGGTTTAATGTGCTTTCTAAAAAAAGTTTAAAAGGTAATATTAAACTTCATACCAGTTTAATGAATAGCTTTCTCCTGGAATGTGCATGTCTGAACAGTAAATCTTCCTGTTGGAAGCACTGTACTTTGAATACTATGTGAATGGGAAAAGTGCGTTACCCATTTATTGGAAAGAATTTTATATCTAATGAGGCTGCCTGCAGCAGGGTTTTATATTTGTTTGTTTTTTAATGTTACTTCAGAGAATAGTGATGACTAAAGAGAATAAAATGTAAATGCTATAGAATGTTAAAGATTTCTAAAAACTATAAATTAATTTCTATAAACTTGAATGGAGCTATATATGGAAGATTATTAATTGAGTACTTGTTGAACAGAGTCAATAAATTTCAGCCATTTTATAGTTCATCATATTTTTAATGTGTTTTCTGCAGCCATTCTAGTTGAATGTTGATGTAACTACTGTATTTGTACTGGGATTTTACAGAAAGCAACAAGTAACCAAAACAACTATTGACTAGCTTCAATAATGGAATCACTCTGGAAATGGTTAAATATCATTTAATACTACATTGGTAGCAAGGATCTATCATATTATTTTAACTCAAGTTATTTGAGTGGGATTTTTATGTGATTTTATTTTACAAGTTTGATAGTTTGTTTTATTCCTTGCAATCAGAACCCAGAGGATCGTATTGGGGTATGCATTTGCATATGTTCTATGATGTTTTCATTATCCAGTATCATGCTGTAGAATCTCCATTCATTTTTTATAAAAGTAAAATTTCTATTTGACTTCTTTTGTGACACTGCAAATGAGACCCTATACTAGCTGTCATTTATAAGTATAAAATTACTAAACATGTGCATCAAAATCTTTTTTGATGTGTCCTTCTCTTCCACTCCAAGCACACTCATATTCTTAGTAAAGAAAGCTCTAAGTCTGGAACTTCTGCAGTAGAATAACTCGTTGAGCTGTGTTGTGTCTTTGTATACTGTTTGTACTCCTTTCAATTCAGTGCATGGTGTTTGTGTTGCATTTTATGTTCAACAGAACAAAGTAAATTTCTATACACATTGAATGTATTTTACTATTCATAAATTATATCACGTAAAATTTTGTACTTAAAAGTTTAATCTGATGACACCTTAAAAGTTTATGTAGCTCATTGAAATTGTGCCAAACCAAGTGAACAAAAGCTCCAAAGCCCCACTGAACTGCACTAGAACTTTACTCTCAGCATTTTCATAACAACGTATCATGTACTCTGCATGTGACAAAGTGCTAGCAGGACTGTGAACAAATCTGAAAAGTGATTTTCTTTTAAAATTCATAGTGTTTTAAGTACTAATTTAATTCTAGGAAGGGAAAGAGTTGAATGATGCTTACTATTTTATGGTGGTTGGGTGTTCTTACTCTTGTCATAGAACAGTGCTAAATACTAAAACTTTATCAGCAAATCGTATCTGTCATTCTTAGGTACAAACTGATGTTGGTGTGGACACTAAGCATCAAACACTACAAGGAGTAGCATTTCCTATTTCTCGAGAAGCTTTTCAGGCTTTGGAAAAACTAAGTAAAAGACAGCTCAACTATGTGCAGTTGGTAAGAAATGTGTAGTGGTTGTGAAATGACTGCTCCTTTTGGTATCTTATGACTTAATTTCTGTTTTTAATGGGCTTTACATTTTTTAATTTGCTTGATGATTTTTTATTCGTTGCTTAAAAGATTATAAAAGCTGTATATGTGCATTATGAAAAAGTCAGGTAGTCCAAGACTGTAAGTCCCTGTTGTCTCCTAGTTTTTTTTTATTACAAAATTTTAGCTTAATTTCTGTTTATCTGCTTTAATGAATATGTTTTGTTTCTTATTGATAGGAAATCGATATAAAAAACGAAATTATAATTTTGGCCAACACAACAAATACAGAACTGAAAGATTTGCCAAAGAGGATTCCCAAGGATTCAGCGCGTTACCATTTCTTTCTGTATAAACATTCCCATGAAGGAGACTACTTAGAGTCCATAGGTATATATGACACATTGGTTTTAGCAGGTTACTGTCCATTTGTTTGTTGGTATTTCGGCACTGTAGTCTGAAGTATTTCTTACCAGAAATCTTACTATGGTTTTTCGGGTTTTTTTTTTTGCGGGGGGGACTGGGGTTTGAACTCAGAACTTTGTACTTCCAAAGCAGGCATTCTACCACTTGAGTCATTCTTCCAGTCCATTTTGCTCTGGTTATTTTTTGGAAATGGGATCTTAACCGAACTATTTGCCTGGGCTGGCCTTGAACCATGGTCTTCTAATTTCAGCCTCCCATATAGCTAGGATTATAGGACTGAGCCACTGGCCCTGCTTAGTTATAGTTATATAACGTTTATATACTTGTTTTGATTGATATGCTGCTAATCGTACTTATTTTAACTTACAGTTTTTATTTATTCAATGCCTGGATACACATGCAGTATAAGAGAACGGATGTTGTATTCTAGCTGCAAGAGCCCTCTGCTAGAAATTGTAGAAAGACAACTACAGATGGATGTAATTAGAAAGGTAGACTTACCTCTTTTCCGTATATTTTTCGTTACTACCATGTAACACAAGATTTATTGTGATTTATAAGTAAAAATACTTATATCCTAAGTCCTTTAGATCTCCTCCTTGTGCCTGTGAGTGACCTATTATGATCCCCTTCTCCCTGTAGATCTGTACTATCTGATATGGTAGCCACAAGCCACACATGGCTATTTAAATTTAAATGTAAATTTAGAAGTTCTGTTGTACGGCTGCAAGAGCTATGTATTAGTGACCGTTCCTGAACTCACTAATAAAGAACTACCATCTTCATTTATAACTGTGAATCCTGGAATGATTGGGAATATTTCCAGCTATTGGGGAAGAGGGAATGAGCATAAACCTTTGAATTTGAGGAACTACGCTACCAGTTTTCTTGAATTTACTTTCTCAAATTCAGATAAAGCATAAGGAAAGATATGGTTTATTCTTGAGCCTTTCAACTCTTAAAATAAAGGTTCTTACAAGCTACCAGTGTTTTAGATATGAAATTCCTTGAGATATTATGAATCACTGAAACATGGTAGCACCTTCTATAGCAAGAGTTGGCTGACTTTTTCTACCAAGGATCAGACAGTAAATATTTTATAGCCTTTTCCAGGTCTCATAAGGTCTCTGTCACTTGTACTTTTTGTTGTTGTTTCTGTTTTTTACAAACCTTTGAAAATGTAAAACAGTCTTAACTTGGACTAGATTTGGCCTGCAGGCCATAGTTTGTCTACATCTGTTCTAGAGTGATTTCAAGTCACCCAACACACAGATGAAGGTGACTTAAGTAATGTTTCTTGTTTGTTTATTTTGGCTACTGGGGTTTGAACTCAGGACCTTGCACTTGGCTGGCGCTCTACCACTGAACCACAGCCCCAGCATAAGTAATGTTTCTTGAATATGTAGTGACCATATATAGACTATGTAATGCTAGCTTCTACTTATAAATATTATGTAATAGGAGCAGTAAGAAGGAACAAAATAGAAAATGAATATGGCTGATTATATCTTTAAGCAACTCATTTAGCATCCCCCTGAAAAGCATGAAAGTGAAGTTGTCTAAATACTTGGTTCTTGACTCTTCCTTGTTAGAATGGAATTATGCATGTATTTGTAAGCATTCATACCTGAAAATTGGTTTGTTGTTTTTATTTAGATTTTGAATGTTACACTTTTTTTGTATTGTATCACATTGCTAATTTCCTCTTTTACAGATTGAGATAGACAATGGGGATGAATTGACTGCAGACTTCCTTTATGAGGAAGTACATCCCAAGCAGCATGCACATAAGCAAAGTTTTGCAAAACCAAAAGGTCCTGCAGGAAAAAGAGGAATTAGAAGACTAATCCGGGGTCCAGCTGAAACGGAAGCCACTACTGATTAAAATTGTTATATTAAACATTGCAACACTAGTTTTTTAAAAGTTCAGCTTTTAGTACAGGAGAACTGAAATCATTCCATGTTGATATATAGCAGGGAGGAAAATTGTACTTTTTGAAAAATAGCACTTTTCACTTCTGTGTGTTTTTAAAATTAATGTTATAGAAGACTCATGATTTCTATTTTTGAGTTAAAGCTAGAAGGGGTTTCAACATAGTAATGTTTAATTTTGTCACACTGTTTTCACAGAGTGTTGATTCCACACTTTCACATAATTTTTAAGGTTTTATATAGTTGGAACCATACCAGAAAGTCTAATGTCTTAAAGTAGAATATACTTCTTATTACTCTTTAATGAGACATTTGTTTTGTTTTTTTTTAAGGGAAATGGAAAGACCTTAAAATATTCACATTTCTGCATGAATATGTTAAGGACTAGATTAGATTATTTTCTAAGCTGAAAATGTAGTGTGCCTAGAAAAAAGTGGAAAGTTGCTTGCTCTGAGGAGCTGTGCTGTCAGACTGGGATTATGTCTGTACCTTTGAGAAATAATTGCAGCAGTTTTTTCTATTTGACTTTTTATTTTTTAATGGCATTAAAATTTCAAGTCAGCTCACTCTGACATTTTAAGAGTACCAGATATTTTCTATATTGCAGGATTTCTGATGACATTGATAGATTTTAAACAGCCTTAGTAAATTTTCTTTCCATCGCTTTAAAAAAATGTGTATTTCCAAAGTAAGTCATTACATCATAAATACAATGAGTACAAATGCTTATATCGTAGAAATTCAAATTAATTATCAGTCAAAAAGAAGCAAAACTAAAGTAAAAATGATGAAAAAGTTTTAAACTTTTTTCACTTCAAAACCATGTATTCATAGGCAAATCGCGTTTATTGCTTTAGAGCAAATACTCAAATTTTAAATTGTTTAAATTCCTATTGCTTAAACAGGCTAACTCAGATAAACTCTTAGTTTAAAACTCTTGTTTCAATTAATATCTTATTTAAAAACACATTTAACTGTCTTCTAAAGCTTTGCATTTTCAGTTATAACCTAGAGAGATTTTGAGCCTCATATTTCTTTGATACTTGAACCAGAGGGAGCTAGAACACTTCATATTTAATAATATGTTAAACCTGCTGCAGAGCCATAACTTTGACAAGTTTTTGAAATGAACTGTGGGTATCCAGGATTTGGAATTCCTTGACCTAAACTTCATGCTGCATAAAACAAATATGAGAAATGCACATTTCATAGTATAAAATATGAAGCTTCATTGCTAGACCTTATTATCTAAGGTAATACGTGCACCTTTCCGAAACTCAATGTGTGTTCTAGTAAAGCATATAAGAATAACTATGGGTTGGCAGATTTTTTTTTTAAATAGAATTAAGAGTATTTGTGTGGTTTTTGTTTGTTTACAAATAATTAGACTATAATATTTAAACATGCAAGGTAGTAAGCAGTAATGTTGCACTTGTTTACTGAAGATATACTTTCACGTTGTTCCATGGGTGCAGAAATAGACACACATACCCACAAGTAATTGCATTAAGAACCCTGGAGCTATGTTGCAGACCACTATTGAAGCTGTCATTTTCAGTCAGGAAGAATACTACCTGTCATGAAGATACAAAATAATTCAGTAGTGAATTTTTCCATACCATCCGTGTGCAATTTGTACTCTAAATTCCACTACACTACATGAAAGTAAATGGACATTCCAGAATACAGATGTGGTTATATAATCTTACTAATTATTATTAAACCAATGATTGCTGAGAATCAGTTATGCATTTGTTTTAGAGTATAATTCATTGTTTACAGTATGTTTTAGGTGATACTAGATGTGAATAACATTCCCAATAAATTTATATAGCAGTGAAAAATTACATACCTTCTGTGGGCATTTTATAAGTGCATTTTATATCACAATAAAAATTTTCTCTTTAAGTTGTGTATGTTGTATGTTGGATTTCTAGTATATCCTTTTTTAATGTTTGCATAATTCAATACCTAGTGATAGGCTAGGAATCCCATTTATCTGTTCAGTTATTAATTAGCCTGCCTAATTCCAAAAAACATTTTAAGTGCTTTGAAACCTAGGCAAGAATAGTTGTGACTCTACAGCACTTTCTGGAACATTCTCACTAGTGTAATGTAATGAAAAATGCCACAAGTTGCGCAGATCCTGCCCTAATAAAAGCACCCAGTTCAATAGAATGACAGGCTTGCTTGACTGAATTCTTAGACCTGCTGTTCACCAAAAAGAAATATGGAATGTATTCCTACTTGGATGCAATTTAGTATTAAGGTAGATTGTTTTTATCTGGGAAATGTTACAAAATAGATGATTTTCATAGCAATTTTACAAAAGATGGAGAAAGATCCTTAAGAGAACTAAAGCATTTCTACTTAGAGTGCTAAGACAATGTTCTAAGGTACACATTGCAGGTAGCTCAGTGTGCATCCTTTCCCTTGCATATACAGCCATATATTGTAAGGGTGGCCATTTGTTTATATTGAATCTTATCCTGGGGTTTCACATTCAGGGGCTGTGATGTAGGAATCAGAGTTAAATAAGTGACTCATGGAGATATGACTGGGAATAGTTTCCTTAAATGATATAACTTGTGGCTGCTTCCCCCATTCAACAAACTGTACTGATAATGGTGGTTATGATAGTGGTTTCCTCTCAATAAAATCTAATCTCATTGTTGCACACTAGCTTCTACATGACGTGGCACATGGCTCTCTATAACCTTGATTTGTCAGCTGTGATTTTACTAGCTGCTCTCTTCCTGTAGTCAACCAACCATGGCCTCAGGAAATGTGTGCTGCTTCCCACGTTGGGTTCCCGCAACCCGTTGTCTACATTATCTTCCTCACTCTGCAGTTCTCTGCTCAGGTGTCATCTCCTTAAGTCCCCTGGGCCTCCATTGTGGCCTTCTCTTGCCTTAATTCTGCTTTATTTTTTCTTATAACACTTAAGCATTGTGTTAGCTTTGCATCACAGAAAAAAAAAATCTGAGAGAAATCAATGTAAAGAAGCAAAGATTTATTTTGGCTCATGGTTTCAGAGGTTTTACTCCATGGTCAGTAGACCACTGTTTCTGGGTGTCTGGTGGGGCAGAACATCATGGTTGAGATCAGATGATGGAGCAAAGAGCTGTATTTTATAACACAGCCACTTCTCCCAAATCCATCAGGACTAATCCATTGATGAGGTCAGAAGCTTAATGATCCAATCACCTTTCAAGGCCCTACCTCTGGATAGCTCTGGACTAAGCCTACAACATAGGAGCTTTGGGGGACAATTCAGATCCAAAAAAAAATTGGGATTATATATCCATAAAGCTCTGGGGGGGCAAGGAACTTCGTTTTATTCACTGCTGCATCTGCAGCACCTGGAAGAGTTTCTAGGACACAGCACACTTTCTATCTGTTGACTGAATAAATGAATGAGTGGCTTTACCTTTCTTTGAAGAACAGCTGTGAATCTAGGAGCACATGCTAGCAGGGGTGGGTACTTCAGAGGATCTAGCTAGCATCCATTACTGCACTTCCCGCCAGAGCAAACCTCACTAGCACCACTAGAGTCTTTTGCCCTGTGAAAGACATGGTTTCCATCACACAAATTTCACTATTAACTTATTCCTGGGTACCAAGAGTCTTCCAGTAGGAATCCTAAGTTAGCTCAGTGCTCTAATAGATCAGAACCAGCCTGCACTCAACTGCCAGCTCTACTCCACTATTTGTACTTAGGATTCAGCCTGGCTGCAGTTCTTAGTGAAATCTGGATTCTTAATGAGGGGAAAGCAAGCCATGAATGGAGGTTAAATTGTATTTCTTTGTTTCCTGTTATCAAAATGTATTGACGAGACAAACTGAACTATATCTTTGTGTGTGTGTATATGACTGAATAAGTTCTGTACAGCAACCATATTAATGCATAACAAACTACCACCAAAATATTGTGGTTTAAAACATCAGCAACCATTTCTCACAAGTCTATAATTGGCTGACCTCTCATGCACATATGTGGTCAGCAGTGGGTTGACGGGTTGAAGATGACCCTATCTCAGATGCCTGGTCTCTGTTGTCCATGGTCTTTCAGCAGCAGCATGTCAGCTGTGGCTTGTTTTCATGGCAGTGAGAGAAGGAGCAGGGTGGGGTGGGGTGGGGTGGAGGATGAGGAGGTGAGGGGTAACAAATATAATATGTGATAGTATATATAAGAACATGTAATATAGGAATGAGTGGACAGTTGCATATAACCCAATGAATATGGGAAAGAATTTACTTAACCTTTTGCTGTCCAATTTTTTCAACAAGGATAAGAACAGAACCTACAGTATAGATTTTTGCATTTAAGATGTATGTATATGAAGCATTTAAAATAATGCTTCATCAGAAGTTAGCACTTAATATATGACAGAGATAGAGAAAGTGATTATGGTCAATACAATGACATAGACATAGTGTAGTGGTAGAGGTTACATATCTAAGAATCCCCACTGTGCAACTTATCAAGTGCATAATCTTGGGCAAGTTACTTTGCTTCAATTTCCTCATCTGTAAAATGTATATAATCTCACCAAACCATGGAATTGTTAGGAGAATTAAGTAAGTTAAAGCACATTAAACAGTGTTAATAATTATTTAATAAAACAATGCAATATATAACTTAAAGTTATGAACTTACATATAAATATACATACATACTTAGTAGTAATAGTTAATGTTAGGAATCTAGGAGTACAGGGAAGAAGTACTTATTTCTGTTTGGGGAATCAGAAGACTGTGAAGTGGGTATTAGCACCAAATCCTAAAGAAATTATAAGCTCACCAGGTAGACAGAGAGGTAAGGGCATTCCAAGCAACATAGAAGGGTGCATAGTTTCTCCAAATACACAGCCATGTCATGTTCAAGAAATTACAACAAATTCAATGATTGGAAGAAAAGCACATCTGAGGCCTGGTGGCTAAAGGTAAAACCTAGAAAATCTATTTATCTGCATATGGATATTTTAAACTCCACAAGGGCACAATATATATAGAAAGAGGAGATGAATACCTGGGGTAAAACCATCAATAAGAATGGGGAAGGGGAAATAAACATTCCCAAGGAACTGAGGAACTAAGATGTAGAAGGAAAACCAGGAAGCCAAGAAAAAAAGCAATCTTTAAGAAAGACAACATGGAATTCTACCCAAATTAAAAATGAAGTCAGGTGACTATTACCTTCTCTGAGGGCAGACCAGATAATTCAAATCAGTCCTCCACCAAGGAATCATTCCTCTGCTTGAAGGCATCAGAACAGTAAATAGTATTGAAATATAGGAGAGAAGTGTGACAAGATGGCAGATTAGAAGTTTCTCTGTGTGACTCTGTGAATAAGAAAAGTCAGGGTAATGAAGAGACTATAAGAGACAGAGGAAGAGCATCAGGAATTGTGAAAGAGGTAACAAGACAACTGAAAAGCATGGACAAACAGACAGGAGATGCAGAGAAAAATAGGAAACAGCCCATAGCTCCAATACCGGCTCCCCAGTGAGGAGGGAAAGCCCAAACCACATAAGGTAAGTCAGTCAGACTGGCACATCTAGCTGCAGGATAAGACCACACTTCCTGAAAACCTTAACTCCAATGGGGGTACTTGGCATAACAGTGACTCCTCCTGTGTGGGAAGATAGAATCAGAGAAGAAAGCCATGTATTAGAGAGC